CGGATGGGCCGTGCCGTGCCAAGCCGGAGGGGTTCCCGCGGGTGGGCTGCTGCCAACGGGGCCGTTGTCTCCCAGCAGCAGCTGTCCAGAGCAAAAAAGCTCCGGAGAGAGAGATAAACCGGAAAAGTTAAAAGTGGGAAAGAGGGTGGCCGGCCCCTCCGAGCGGGGCCAGGCGGTGTCGCGCCGGGGAGGTGGCGGAGGCCCTTGTGGCGTCTCCGTACGTTTCTCGGTGGTTCTTCCCCAGGGAAGGGACTCTCCCTGGGAAAAGCGATGGTGTTTCTGATCACCTCTCCCGTGGCCCCAGCCTCGCACAGCCCAACCTCGGCAGGATCAGCGTGGCTGTCCTGTGCTCTGCCGCCGTTCCCTGAGGATTCAGTCTGCTTTGAAAGGGAAAGACTTTTCCCTCATTAGTAGTTAGAAAAGGGACTTCTCTCACTCTCGCTCTCTCCTGGGCTGAGGCATCAGAGAAGATGGCATAATGCTTTGCATTACCCATTTGCATCTTGTCCTTTCCGACAGCGGGAGGCAGGCGCTAGATCTTTCCATCTTCATTTGCCCCTGGAGAGTAGTGATGAGCATCCTGTCGGCTTTCATGGCGTGGTTTCTCGCGGAAGAAAGTTGAAGCAGCGCTCCTTCACGGAGGCCGGGGGGAAGTCTCGTCGGGCGCTGCGTGCGAGCTGCCGCGGCAGGCTGCTGTCACGTGCAGGGGGCAGATGGCGGTCCCTGCGGTTGCGCTCACGGGGTGTTTCCAAATCAGAGTGCCCTCCTGTAACAGGCTGGAGCCAGAGCAGAGCATGGAAACTCCCCCCGCTGTTCAGGCACGGCAACGTGATTAAGCTCATTTTTCTAATGGAGCATTTATTAGTAACCTTGTAAGCAAAGTATTTGGGAACTGACAGACAGGGTGGAAGATGTGGTTAAAAGCCTAGCGACTAAATCTGCGTGAGAAGGAGTTTCTTCCCATTGCACATCGCGCTGGGACCCGTGAGAGCATCATCCTGCAAATGAAAGCAGGCAGTCCAAAAGCCTGCTAGAGGGATATTAGAGCTGATGCTGAGATGTTGCTTCATCCTGTTTTCTGTTTTGCAAAGGAAAGAGAATTGGGTTTCTCCTGGGTTTTTAAAATCTCAGCCCCTCTCTGGTTCTGCTTAGACTATTGGCACAGCTGTCGGCAGTCGCTGCTTGTGTCACATGAGCCTGTTTGTAATGGGCAGGATGGAGGTCCAGACGTTGCTGTTTTTCTAAGTGACAGGCATTTTTTTTTGCAAGACTGAACGCTGAGCCTAGTTGGAGTGAAGCCTTCAGAGACACATGAGCCAGGATTGCAAAAGAGAGAACATGAGGCAAAAGGGGCTGACGCCAGAGAGCTTTTGGGAGTCAGGTTGAGAAGGAGGTGAGAGAAGAAGTTGTAATGTTGTCCCTTGAAGGCTGTAAATTAGGGCCCGAATGAAAGCACGGTGTGTGCATGTTTATCTGTGTTAGGCTGAGGGAGGGACTGTGTAAGCAGAGGCCAATGGGATTTATTTCTTTTGAAAGGCAAGCGTCCATACCTTTCTCTCCTATAGCGTTTGTTGGCAACGTTTGGATCTGTTATGGGAATAACTGACACTCTGTGTCTTATGTGCATGCACACCTCTTTTCTTAAGAGACATCTGGTGGTAAGAGTAGATTCGTCTTTTTCTTTTCCGTTTGCTTCTTTTTGAATCCGCTCCTTTTTTTGTTTTGTTTTGTTTTGTGAAATCTTTGCATTTCCTCCTTGGAGGAGGCCTTTGTTCTCACCCCTCTCCCCGTGAGCCTGAGGAGGGGTGGTCCATCCTGCCGGCCGCAGCAGCTGCTCTGTCCACAAACCTCTCGCTGCTGGGTGTGCATGTCCTTAGCCGGTGTGTGCACAGGGTGCTTCCGGTCCTCTGTAGCCGACCGTGTCCTTCCCCTCCTTCACTGCTAATGCTTCTCCAGGCAGCGCGTGACGTCGGTGGCTGCCCCAGTGACCCCAAGCGGTAGATCTGTCCTCTTCTGCCTTAACCGGTTAATCAGTTTAGCTGCCACAGCTAAGCGTGTTAACACCTTGCGAGGGATCAGTTCAGCTTTGCACAGATTATTTTGTCTTCTGCTGAATTGATCCATCAGGATCAGTTGCTAAAAATGTTATCAACTTGCCCATCAGTGGTTTACACCAGTGCCTTTGAGGCAAACACTCTTAAGTCACTTACTCATTCAGGGAGAAATTCACCTCTCTGTGTAGGACCAGCAGCGACCCTGGATGCTACTTAAGTCCCACTAACTCCCTCAAAAAAGGGATTAAGATAAAAGAGGATTGCTGTATGCATAAGCTTTGAGTGGGCAGAGAGCTAGGACAGCCCAACACTGTTGGTGACCTTGCTGTTGTGCCTCAAATAAATTCTGATATTGTGTATAGAAGCATTTGCCAGTGTCTTGGCAATTAGGAGTAGCCCAGTAGTTGTGCAGTGTGCTGACAAGCCTTGCTTTTGACCTTATGGGAAGCACAGAGTAGCTGTGCCTACGCCTTGGTCTTGAATTGCAAGTGTACAGCATGTGTCCAAAGTGTCACCAGTAATCTTTGCCTAGGTCCCCTCAGGCCAGTAGTTTCACTGCGTCATCTTTAACCAGGTTGCAAACACACTCTGTCGGGAGCTGTCTGCTTTTTGCTTTCAGGAGAAGAACCCAAGTTTGCCTAGGGTTAGCCCTGGTGTCTTCTGGGGTGTTTGACTCTGTGGACGGTTGTGTCTGGTCCTTTGCATGTGTGCATAAACACATTTTTAAAGAACGTCCAGTTGGCATGTGGGAAGCCGGTTTCTGTGATGCTCCTGGATCACAATTCTCTGTTGCTGGGATCCAGTATACTTGCCCGTGTTGTGATGAGGGCTCACGGCCACAGGGCTGCAATGATGTGCCCAAATAAATCCATGACCGATCTGTCTATCTTACCTACCTGAAACAAGAGCCCTCCCTTGGCCTCCCTGTCCTGCACCCTGCCTTTCCTATGTGTGCTACCTTTCTGTCTTGAACCTTTTTCCTTCTGTCAAATGTCAGGGGTCTTCAGCTCTGGGGTTGTCTTTTTGGCCCATTTCCATTGCCTTAAGGGTATTTTGCACCTTGATTATTGGGGATATATTTTGGCAACTTTTTAACAAACAGAGCGCCTCCATGACACTCCTCGCCTGTAAGCAAGGGTCTGGTCCAAAAACCACATGCTCAGAATTAGTCCCAGTTAAACCATGACAAAGCCAGCATGAGCTGGCTAGCTGGCCTTAGGTAACTAGCACATCTGTAGCTGAGCTTGGGCCTGTCACCTGGTTTATATTCCCACCATCCCATTGTGCCCTGGCCTTGCCTTGCTCACTGGTGTTCTTTTCTCCTTGTTTCCAGGTACTGGCGTCGAGCCTTGGGTATGCAGGTTAGATATGCAAACTACGATGACTATCAGTTTTGTTATTCCTATAGAGGGAGACCTGGATACCGACCGTCTATCCTGATGTTACATGGGTTCTCAGCCCACAAAGACATGTGGCTGTCTATAGTCAAGGTGGGACTCCATTTCTCTCCCATCAGTACTTAGCAGGAGTCAATGTTACTGGGCTTGGTGGTGGTGTGGGTGGAATGGCTGCATGCTGCATGGATACAGTCTGAGATGATCATTTTAACATGCTAGCAATACCCTCCTCAGCTCTGTGTTCCTTGTTTGTTGGATCCTTTTCATCCCTATGACATGCAAATCTGCAGGGGAAGAGCAGTATGTACCTGCCTCCTTCACGGGAAGTGAATCTTGCCTGTGGTTTCTCTTCATTTCGTCCTTGGTACATGAGCTGATTTACTCTGGTGCAAGAGTAACCGAGGGCTTCTAGGAGGAAAGCAAGCCCCCTTTTGCCACCTGTAATTACCAGTTTCCTTCCTTCCTCCCTTGGTTTTCACAGCACTTCCCTTTCGGTCTAACTGCCTGAGTTTTGTTTCTGCAGTTCCTCCCGAAGAATCTGCACTTGGTGTGTGTTGACATGCCTGGTCACGAAGGTACAACCCGGTCATCGTTAGATGATTACTCCATTAACGGGCAAGCTAAAAGAATACACCAGGTAAAGCCTTAGCAATGGTCTCGTCTTACTCTTCGTATTTACCTTTGCAGTGTGTACCAAGAATGACGGGGCTGTTTTATCTCTGAAGTGGAGCAAAACCTTGCTGTCCCTCAGGCAGAGGCCAGGCGTTGAGAGCTGGTGCCACGTAGATGTGGCATCTGAGAAGCTGCTGTTGTTTCATTCTCCTGAAACCTGCAGGTGCAGGTGACGTCTTGCTTTGCTGCCCTAGTGCAAGTTTGGCTATTTGTGCCCTACATTAATTCTTTTTGAGCTTTGCCCTGCTGCTGTTTGTGTGTACTTCTCTCCCCTTTTCTTTCTTACCAAGCTGGACTGCAGCATTCTGCAGAAGGACGTGGAATTTGCAAGGCTTTGGAAAACTGACCCATTATTTCTTCAAGGGCTGCACTCAAAATATGTGATTGATTAGCCAGCACATTCTTAATGTTTGATGCGCACCTGAATTTTTTAATTTGATCACCAAAAAGCTGTATGTGCAAATTATAGCCAGAATCAGTGTCCCAGAAAAAAACGCACTTATAAACAGTGGGAACATCATGTGAGAGGAGAGCACTTCTGTGCTTGGGAGCAGAGTATAAAACGGGCCCCTGTTTTCAGCAGTGTAATGGCTTAGCAACACACAGGTACACAGTGTAAGGGGAAGACTAGATCAACAAGGTCCCCGTGTGTTTGGTGGGGGAAGTGCGGTATCCCTCCCTCTCCTAGGGTAACCATATGAGAACATGCATGTCTTCAGCCCTTCTTGTCTCACACAATCTTTTTCCATCACCAGCAACGAAAGGAGGTCTCACTTTCTCATCCTGCTGTAGCTGATAGGTAGGACTGAACTCTCAGCTCTGCAGAAACCGCCAAGGTTTTTGCTTGCTCTCTTCAGTATTGTCACCAGCCTGGCTTCTAGATGTGCCTTGTCCATGATGCCTGTTGCTTAGCTTTCTACATGATGCGGTGTGTGCTGGCCTGGATTTTTTTGTACATTAATGCTTTTACGCCTGTGTGAGGGTGGCTCCCTTGCTGTTGGAGCATTGGACCTCCCCTACTGAGGCCCAGGAAGCAGCACTGCTCTGGTAGAGAGAGAGGTGGCAAGACCAGACTGGGCACTGGGGCCTTTCCCAGCTCCTAGAAAGCCTTTCTCCCCTTAACCATTAAGAGACTTGTGGCTGGAAGGAGGGATGAAACCAGGAGAGGAATGAAGCAGATGCTCACTCTACAGCAGCCTTCTGCCACCACCTTGTGTTTGAAGATGGTGCATTTTTCTGCTTGAGAGGGTTGCAGATGCTGTGCGCGTGTGGGTATCGGTGGCTCTCCTCTGGCTCTGGCGTGTGTGGCAGGAGGTTTCCTCTGTTGTCTGTCTGCTCGGCCCCTTGCGACAGGGATCCCCATCTCGTTTGGGCTCAAGTGCGTCTGAGGAATGACAGATGTGTTTGGGGTTTAGTTGGCCACTTCTAGCAGTGTTAGGTGTATCCTGGGTGCTCTTCCGTGCCTGCTGCACATCTGGCTCTCTCAGCAGAGGCCAGAGGTGTTCAGTCATGGAGACCCTGCAATGCTGCAGGGACTCTTTTGGGACCGATCCACATGGGTAGGACATGTCCAGCAGGGCTCTTCCCGGCCCTGGGCTGCCTTTGTTCCCATTGGTTCGAGGGGTGGCTCGAGGCGCTCTGGGGGCAGCTGTGGGTCTCCTTGGAGGCGTTCCTGCAGCACTCCCGGGCCACACACAGCCCTGGCCGGGAGCAGGCTTCTGCCTGCTGCGCCCCAGCCCCATCTCCTGGTGTCGGATCAGGACACATGTATAACGTGGCTATACAGCTTGAGCCCGGGGTGTCTCAGAGCCCCGGCCAGCTTTCCCTGCTCCGCAGGGCGGTTTTCACCCCCCCACTGCTGTGAGTGACTGGAAGGCACTAATGTCACGCCGGGAGCGAGTGATGCTCCACTGGGAAAGGCTAAGGCCCATGAGCCCCCGGCCCCGTGCATGTCCCTGCCTCCCACTGCCGTATCCAGGCCTGCGCCAATCTCCAGTTTTTCTGCTTAATTTCACTAATGACCCCATGCCGATGCTTCCTCTTGCCCAACAATGCTCCATTCTGCTTCCGTTGCAGTTTGTTGAGTGCATCAAGCTGAACAGAAGGCCTTTTCACCTGGTTGGCACTTCGATGGGAGGAAACGTCGCCGGAGTTTATGCTGCTCAGTACCCAGATGAGATTTGCAGCTTGACTCTTATATGTCCTGCAGGTGCGTAATACACAAAAGATCAAATGTAGAAAGAGCAAGCAGGAGTTCATGGAAAAGTGCAGGGCGATGCCGATTGCAAAATAGACTTTGCATATTAAGTAGCACATTGCTGGACTTCAGCAACGCTTTTGACACTGTCTCCCATCACATCCTCGTAGGTAAGCTCAGGAAGTGTGGGCTAGATGAGTGGGCAGTGAGGTGGATTGAGAACTGGCTGGATGGCCGAGCTCAGAGGGTTGTGGTCAGTGGCGCAGAGTCTAGTTGGAGGCCTATATCTAGCAGTGTCCCCCAGGGGTCAATACGGGGTGCAGTATTGTTTAACTTATTCATCAGTGACTTGGATGAAGGGACAGAGTGCACCCTCAGCAAGTTTGCTGATGATACTAAAGTGGGGGGAGTGGCTGACACCCCAGAAGACTGTGCTGCCATGCAGAGGGATGTGGACAGGCTGGAGAGCTGGGCGGAGAGGAACCTCATGAAGTTCAACAAAGGCAAGTGCAAGGTCCTGCACCTGGGCAGGAATAACCCCATGCACCAGTACAGGCTGGGGGTTGACCTGCTGGAAAGTAGCTCTGCCGAGAAGGACCTGGGAGTGCTGGTGGACAACAAGTGAAGCATGAGCCAGCAGTGTGCCCTTGTGGCCAAGAAGGCCAATGGTCTCCTGGGGTGCATTAGGCAGAGTGTTGCCCGCAGGTGGAGGGAGGTGATCCTGCCCCTCTCCTCAGCCCTGGGGAGGCCTCACCTAAAAAAAAGAGCTGGGCCTGTTCAGCCTGGAGAAGAGAAGACTGAGAGGTGATCTCATCAATGTCTACAAGTATCTAAAGGGAGGGTATCAAGAGGATGAGGCCAGCCTCTTCTCCGTGGTGTCCAGCAACAGGACAAGAGGCAACGGGCAGAAACTGAACCACAGGAAGTTCCACCTGAACCTGAGGAAAAACTTCTTCACTGTGAGGGTGACAGAGCCCTGGCACAGGTTGCCCAGAGAGGTAGTGGAGTCTCCTTCGCTGGAGATATTCAAAAGCCGTCTGGATGTGATCCTGGGCAATATGCTCTAGGGGACCCTTGCTGAGCAGGGAGGTTGGACTAGCTGATCTCCAGAGGTCCCTTCCAACCTAAATGATTCTGTGATTCTGTGATTTTAAAATAATGCACATATATAATCTTAAAATCTTTGGCAGTGCACAGTTCTAGGGCGGGGAGCACCTAGGACAAAATCATGGGCTTGTCCTGGCTGCTCTTTTCCAGGGCTTTGGAGTCCTCCCTGTTGTGCCCAAACCCATGTTTAAAGCTGAGACTAGGGGAGATGGGACAGCCTGTGGTCTTGAAGAAAATGCTTTTCTCCCTTGGAGTGGCAGACGTTTTACCATGGCACGTTCATAGTCTCTTGGTTCTGGAGGAGGAACCCAGGCAGTGAAGTTTGGTCAGATCTTGCTGTACCTCCTTGATAGCCCCAATGGACCTTAAAGGTGGTGCAAACAACATTGCTGCTGTTGGGGGGGGGGTGCAGGGCCCGGAGAACATAATTCTCTCACATTTGGGCACTCTGCGTGGGAAGAGTGCTTCGGGGCCGTGCCCAGATCAGTGGGAGGTTCGTGCGCCCGCGTGGTGCTCCCCCCTCTCACCTCCATCTCCTGGTCTGATGCCTGGCCCAGCATCATCTGTGCATCTGGCCCAGCATCCATCTGTGGGTGAAGCGCAGCAAATGGGATGCAGATTTTGCAGGGTGCTTTTCTGTCAGGGGAGGGCTTTGCTACCTCCTTGTCGCTGGGACAGCTCCTTCCCATCCCATGCATGGAAAGTATGGTTCTGCAATAAGTCATGAAGCAAAATGAAATGTTACCTAGTTACTGGGTGTGCTGCTCTGCAGAGCAACAAGATTTTTCCCTTCCTCTCTGGGAGAGGTTTTGGCTGACTCTACAGTGTTATTGCATGTGTAACCTCGGTGTAGGCTTTATGAAGAGCTTTGAGGTTAAGCTGCTACAAGGGCTTTCCCCAGCGGGAAAAATACATCTACGTTGCATCAGACTACTGGGCACAGTAGTGTCAAAACTTGGATCAGCAGGGAAGACTGGGTTATCACTGGGTAAATACTAAGATTGTTGTATACACAGATTTTTTTGCTCCCTTTTTCTGTTAAATGGGTGAGCAAGAGGGGAGGCTGGGGACCTGAACTCTGTCTACAGGGGCTGTCGTGGTCTCTGCTGGGTTTTAGCGCTTGTACATGCTTGTTTGTTTGACTCAGGCCTGGTGAGTTCGACTGACACCAAATTCATTAAGCAGCTGCGGGGGGAGCTGCAAGAGTCCAAAAGCATCAACAGGATCCCGTTAATTCCCTCGACGCCTGAAGAGATGGCCGATATGCTGAAGCTCTGCTCTTATGTTCGCTTTAAAGTGCCCCAGCAGGTGAGAAACCCGAGCTGGCTGTCTCGCTGCCCTTGCTCAGGCTTGGCCGGGAACAGCTGTGGGAAGGGGACTTTCAAAGGGAGGGGATGACAATTACTTTGCAGCCTTTTGAGCATCAGCGGAACTGATCTGTCGGGTGCTTGTTATTTATGGCAGGTTTCAGTTTTATTAAACAGGCAAGTGTTCTAGCAGAGATGAGTAACTTGGAGACCTTAGTCTGGCTCTATTTTTAGTAGTGTTTTGAGAGTATTAACAGATCCATGTATTTTTGGCCTCTGTAGGTTTCTGCTTAAAAGCAAAGCCTGTTCAAAAGGTTATTTCTTGACAGCAGTTCTCTCTGGCAGGGCTCTCTGCTCCCTGTCGACACTCATTTCACCCACAGAAATACCAATGGGAACAGAGCAGGAGAGACCATGGTCTCTGCTGTCCTTCTGGCCCAGGGATCGCTGCGTGTCTGTCTGCAGCACACAGGCTAGGGAACCCCTGGCAGGGATTTCTTCATCTTTCCAGTAGCTCCATGGCTCAGAAAACTTTCCCTTTAATCTCACTTTTCTCACCGCAGCCCGGCAGCAGCAGCTGAAGTTTCCGTGTGTGAGGCATGCAAGTTCATTGGCGGCTGGTTGGGAAGCAGAAATGTTTTTAGTAAATATGGCTGTCAGGAAACATTAAATAAATAAATAAGAAGACTATTGTCCGGTCTGGAAGGGGATTGTTTGTTGGTTTTTTAGCAGAAGTAATGGAAATGTTAATTGCCTCATTGTGAGGCTAGAGGAACTTGGCAAGGGGCTTGCTATTAAGCTGATTTTCCTTAGGAAGTCTGGGATGAGCAGATTGGAGGATAAGAAAAAAAGTAAAGTAACGCCAAGACCATTTTTTTTTGGTAAAAGAATAAAAAAAGGAAGAAAAGCACAGTCACTCCTAAGACAGTCTGCTAGGGATGTACCACTAGCCTTGGCAAATTTCAGTCTGACGTTATAAAAGACTGAAATACTGGTTATTGAAATACATGTTACTTAAGTGCTGTTGCAACAGCCTCCTATCAAGGTGTGCCTCTGACCGAGCTTGCACTGGAGCCACGTTGTGCAAGGCCCACGCTGGCGGTGGTTGGTGCAGTCCCACCCCGGCTGCGTGCCGCGCTCTTGGCTTTCCCAGCATGGGCTGCCCCTCCGACGGTGTCCTTGTGCTCCCTTCACAGATCCTGCAGGGCCTCGTTGATGTTCGCATCCCGCACAATGATTTCTACCGGAAATGTAAGTGCATCGCCAGAACCGACCTTGCCAGGCACATGAGCCCTATCTCAAGGGCTTCAGAGAGGGCAGGTCCCCGGTGTCCCCATCCCCAGCAGACCTCCTCACCCCAGCTCCCATGCCCTCAGTGCTGGGAGGGAGGAGGAACACGATTAATAGATTTGGGGAAGCGCCTTAATCCCTGGTAGCAACCCATGACCACCTACAGAGGTGGTGGGGCTGCTGCTTCACCCTCATTCTCTAAGTTAGTCTAATTAGCACTAACACCTGTGAAGAGATGGGGCTGGAGGAGGATCTTTCTGTACTAGAGCCTGATGGCGGTGCAGAATGAGACCTTTGCAAAGACTGCGCTTCTGGGCTGTCCCCCCATGGCCTCCCCTTTCTGTGGGCTCCTCTTCCTCGAGCTGATTCCCAGAGCCATCGCTGGGAGCCTGGTCGAGGCAACGTGGATGGGGGTTGTCTGCTGCATGGAAGAGGGAAGCGTCCCTCTCGTGGAAGACTAATTCTCCTTCTGTGCACACAAGTATTTCTAGAAATCGTGGATGAAAAGTCCAGACACTCGCTCCATGAGCACATGAGCAAGATCAAAGCACCAACGCAGGTCATCTGGGGAAAGCAGGACCAGGTACACAGCCATCCCATGCCTTCCCTTCTCTCTCCCCGCTCAGCCTCCTTGGAAGGAGGACCAGGAGCGCATCTCCGTATGCAGCCACGTACGCTTTGCCCACAGATATGTGGCCCTCTGCATCAAGTCGGCTCATGGGACCCCTGTCCACCGTGGAGGACAGCTTGGGGGTGATGGAAGGAAAGACGAGAGAGAACCTGGGGGAGACGGGGAGAGAGGCAGGCTGAGGTTTAGCTGCTGGGAATTGCCTAGGGTTGGTGGGCAGGAGAGGGCAGGTGCCAGTGGAGCCAGTGCCAGAGCGCAGTGATGGCATGGGCTCAGCAGAGGGACTGCCAGCCCAAACGAGAGTTGTCTTGCCAACTAGGGAGAAATGCGCTGGTCCGTGGGGCAGGCGGCAAGGTAAAAGCATGGGACTTTGGTCTCTTTTTCTGTGTTTATAGGTAAGGATAGTTAAGGAGGGAGGAGCAGGGAGATCTTGGGGAGTGGGGGAAGAGGCAGGACACAAGCATGTAAAGGGCCATGTAAATGCATAAAAGCACCTGCGTTCAGGCCCCCGCGGCAGGCGGGGAAGGGGGAAAGAGGGCCGCAACAGTGCAGGGAGGGCGAGCCCTGGGCGGGGGGCAGGAGCATGCCCTCCTGCTCCAGCCTCTCACATGGATTTGCAAAGGCAGTCCCACTGGGATTCCTACAGCGGATGACAAAACTTAGATCTGCTGGTAGACAGTTAACTTTTTTTTTTGTTTTTGTTTTTTCCTGTCGTTCAGGTCCTGGATGTTTCTGGAGCTGACATTTTAGCAAAAGCTATTCCCACCTGTCACGTGTATATTCTGGAGAACTGTGGGCACTCGGTGGTCATGGAGAGGCCCAGGAAGACGGCGAAGCTCATGCTTGAGTTTCTGGCGCTGCTGCACAGCACAGAGAACAACAAGAAAGAAGCGTGAGCCCTGCGGGCAGCCCGGCGCCAGAGCCAGATGTTTTCAATTGTAAAGTACTGATGCTTTGATAAGTTCTCAGGGATCTCGTACAAATCACGGTTAATGTGCCAAAGTTCCTGAGGAAGGCAAAATCACTGATACGTAAATCTATAGCGCTACATGGTGACCTAGGGATCATTGAACAACCTACATATATACGAAAATTGGAACAGAATCTATATATTTTCTACTTATACGTAAAATAGAAATGGTCTGAAATCACAAAACGCTAGCCATGGAATGTACTGAAACTCTTTATGCAGCCCATGCTATATAAGTTACTGGCACATAGTCGTTAATGACATTTATCTGAAATACGTAAGAATTGTAGGGAGAAACGTCCTGGACAGAGACTTACAATGTTTCTACTCCTTAGACTCTACCACGTTGCATGCGATATTGCTGTAAGAGAATCCTAATGTCCCAGGCATTTGCTAACGTGCTGTTTATGTAGCTCATTAACTTATGATTTCTGCAGAAAAAAAAAAAAACAGAAAACTTCATGTGTGAAAGTAAAATGACTGTATGTCCAAAATGTTTACACTTCTGGTGAGTGGATTTTTTAAATCCTTGGACAGCTCCTGTGTATATGTAATGCCTTAACAGTCTAGAATAACGACGTCCATGTACAACCTGGCCTCATAAGAGGGGGTGGTTTCTTCTGGTGTGAAATCTGTGCGTTGTAAAAACTCAAAGTAAAGACAGCCGTTTTGAAACAGTTGTGCAAACAAGTGGAACAAAAACTCCTGGAGCTATTCAGTCTCTTAGACGTGGGGCCTGAGTCAGCAATAATACTGTAGAGAGACATGTGAGTGAGCACATTCAGGTTAACACAAGGGCAAACTCCTGTCTCAGCTCTTTTCTATTACAGTGCACTGCTGAACATTTTGATGTAAATAATGAGCTTCTTAATGAATTCCATGAATTCTATGAATGATAACGTCATTGAAAACACATGTAACAGATTTAAGTGTCATGAGATAACTGAAAGAATAGCAAAGTGCAGTATGGGCTCAGGTACTCCCTAGCCAATGTGTATTGTTAGCAGATGTCTCAGGCTCATGTGGCATGCATTTTAAAGTAGAGTGGTGTGGAAAAGTAAAATTGGGTAGTGTTTCCTTTTGATGATTTATAACTCCTAACCAAGTGAAATTATATACAAAAAGGGAGAAATCCAGAGAAGTCACACTTTGCAGCGCATGAGGCACCTTCTAGAGACCGATTCTGCTGCGTTAATCCCCCTCCAGATGCAGTTCCTCGCTGCGTCTCCCCAGATTAGCTGCTGGACACTTGTAGCTAATCCTGCTGTGTGACTTGGATGAGAAACACGGTTCCTGGTCTCAGGCGTTACGTGTGTTTGGTGGCGGGTGAAGCCGTGCGTGGTCCTCGTGAAGACGAGAGGGAGGAGGCCGTTGTACGTCTGTCACCACACAGTCCCTTTAGAGACTCTCCATGGGTATCGGCACCTGATATTTTCTAGAGACTCTCCTGTAGATTGTATACCTAAGCTTGTATATCTTAGAGCCATCTTCTCACTATTTTTGCAGGTTACTATGAACTGTGTATGTATTTGAAACTCCCTGTTCGTTTCTCTGCCCTTTTTGTAAGAGACGAAATGGTGTTCTTTTAGGAAATTAGGAAGTTGCTGTCAATTGCTTGGTTATTGTTTCTACTACAGGAGTTGATTTAAAAAAATGATGATAGTTTTACATGGCAAAAGCCAGAAAAACTTGTTGGATATCTACATGGTTTCTCATATGTCGCAGATTGCTGTATGCAAAGGATTTAAATGGCTATTAAAATCTAGTAATTTAAAGAGTCCTCTCTGCAATGACTCTTTTTTCCTTTGGGGTAGGGGATTGTGGTATGGGACGATGCAGAGCAAGAGGAACTTACTCTTTTGCTTTTTCTCCATATTTCTGTGAGTTCCAGGTTTTGCCATGACGAATGCTTGATAACGTCCAGAGAGATGGGGAAGACCTTGAAGGCTCCATTCTGATCTCTTCAAAGACCACAGGAATTTCACTTTTTTTCCTTTTTCAATAGGAGAAGGCCCTAAACACTCAAGAAGCAAAATAAGACCTCAAAGGGCAGATGAGTCAGGTTTTAAGCAGCAAAGATTTGTCTTAAATTCTTCAAAGTGTGTTAAATGCAGATATTAGCTGTTAATTGGAAGGTTTTCTAAATTCATACATAAAGTGGCAGGGATATTGTTAGGTCAATATCTAGGCAAAATTATTTGCGCTTGCACTTACGCCAGGAGAGTTTTGAGGCCTCACAGCTGCTTTGTTGGGAAGATAGCGCAATAATGGACCTTCTGGGGTTTCCGAGATGTTTGTCCATGCACACCCAACTCTCACCATTGTAAGGAGCAGAGGAAGTAGCTGATGAACACAGAGCCGAGGACCAGCCTCGGTGGCGCTGCAGCGGGTGCTGCTGTAGCACCTCGGGGTAATTTTGGGCGATGGGCCGAGCAGGAGCCAGGGCACCTTTGGGGCTGTGTCTTGGTCACCTCCCAGCAGATCCTGCTGCTGCTATTCACACTATTCAGCAGGGAGCCTAATGCTCATGCTGTTCCTGTGTGCCTCTCCTTTTCCAACCGTTTAACTAGTAAAATAACTGAGCTGGATTTCAGCCGCTACGTTAATGCACAGACAGAGGTGACCGTGGCTGTAGAAAACATACTGCGTTACTCCAGCATGCAGGGGAAACGGAGGAGGCTTCTCACCTCTAGACAGGAGATTGCAGTGACTCAGGGAGTTTGAATTACACATCTGGGTCTTATACTTGGGTAATAAAAAGTCTCGTCCGCAGGGAGTTTATTTAAGTGGTGTCACTGCTGAGCGGCAGCTTGCCTCCGGCGTGGCCCCCAGCCCTCCCAGCTGCAGCGCTGCTCGCCCTGGCCCTGGCCCCTGCCGAGGGCTCTCGACTGGCCCCCGGGTGGCATTAGCTGCTCCGGGGCTGAACACAACACCGCCCGGCACGCTGCAGAGCTGCATGCCCTTTGTGGCCCGTCTTCTGGATTTGCATGTCACAGTTTTATTAAATTAAAAAAAAAAAAAGAAATCTCTGAACATGATCCAGAAATGTATTTGCAGAGGGGATTTGCTGCAGCTGCAGGAGTCCAGAGGAACACGCCACAAATCCTGTCTTCCTTCCTTAGGGAGGAACTGCAGTGCTTCCCTGCTGGGTTTACCAATTCCAGGTCAACTTAACCTGGACTGATCACCCTGGGCAGGCGATGGGCACCCCAAAGCCGTAAGCAATTGCTTGCTTACGGCTGCGTCTGCAGCAGGGCTCCGTAACTGCTGTTTCCCCCGTCTCTGCTGTTCGCCTTCATGCAAATCTGCAAAGGTTGCTGGTTTTACACTTGAGGCACAAAACACTGCTAGCTGACACTGGTTCTTTTGCAAGAGGCAAACCCTGCTTGGACCCTGGAAAGAGGGGGCCCAGCCGGGCTCGTGGCCCTGCCAGGGTAGGACGTGGAGACCTCTGGCACTGCCACCCCTTTCCCCATGCCCCACAGCGGGGTCTTTGCAAGACCCTGGGGCTTCACGGTGGGGCAAGAGCAGCTCAATGTGTCCCCAGAGGGTTGTGAAGACTCATTCTCGCACCGCTGCCTGGGAGAGGGCTGCAGGGTGACAGCCCAGCAGGGCCACTGCCACAGGCCACCAGCCCACGGTGGCAGCGAGCCCACCAGAAGGACTTTCTGCTGGACAGGCCGGAGTTGGGCATAGGTAGCTCACGCGCGCTAGAGGGGAGGCTGCAGACAGACGGGGCTGGGGGCAATGGTGCAGCTCTAGGGGGTTTCTCTTTGCTCTGGCTAGCGCTCGCAGGGCGGTTCGCGGGCTCCCCGGGCTTTGCAGCCCTTGCCAGGGTCGCGCAGGGCAGGTGAGCCCACCAACGAGGGCGGGGGAGAAGGAGCCAGGGAAGTTGCCAGCACCTGGAAGCACACCTGTGTGTCACTCTTCCCGCTCATTCCTCATTTCCTGCTGCAAGCAAGAAAAGCCCAAAGGCTTGCTGCCCTTGCTTCAGGGCATGTCTGCAGGGGAAGGGCTGCTCTGGGGATGCTGCAGTGTTTTGGGAGCAGCTGCCTGCCTGAGGTAAGGCTGCACCCTGCATGCGTGGGGATTAGGCAGGGGCTTTTTGCCCCCTCTCTGTTGGGTTTGGCTGCTGTGTGGGGGAGACAGCTGGGAAACCAGTGCATCCCAGTCACAGGGAGCCCTGGCACTGCCAACCAGCGTGCAGCCTTAACCTCTTTGTGTGCAAGTGGAGGGAAGAGAGTGAGTCTGCCTGTCTGTTTGTCCTTGGTGATTTAAGTGTTGTTTTGCTTGTGGTTATGTGAGCAGTGAAGGTCAGTCTTCAAACTGAATTGGGCTAGGATGTAAGGCAAAGTGTGTGTTAGCAGTGAAAATTAATAAAAGGTAAGGAGTTAGTCCTCAGCTGTTATGGGCCTTGCCAAAAAGGGGTTGCTGCATCCTGAAAACCTGCCTGCTAAAAAGCAGATTGTGGGATCCCACATGGGCAGTGGTGCGGAAACCGGTTGCTGCCTCCCTGGTGGTGCTTGGAGCAGGGAAGTGAGAGCCTGTGCGGGAAGGCAGGCTTGTCCTGTGGTTAGGCTGTCTGCTTTGGAGCTAGAAAAGTGAGGTAATCTGGCAAATCACTTGGTTCTGCCTTGTGTGATGGAGATACAGTGGTTCCCTGTGTTGTGGCCTTGCAAGAGGGCATGGAGGATGGGGATGCCCCTTGCTATGGTGAAGGGCCACAGCAGTTTCTTGGCTGGAGGGGGCCCCAAGGGGGCTTCCAAGGAGCCCCTTGCCAAGGGACCCTCTTGTCCCCACCAGGCTGGATGGTGGTAGTGGAGGAGGGGGGACTGTCCTGCATGTAGTTACCACCTTGTTTCTGGCCTGGGTCCCTTGTGTCCTGCCTGCTCAGTTGCAAAGTTTGTGTCTTCCATTAGTGATGTGGCTTTGCAGAGATCCTCAGAGCTGGTGCTCTGGTTTAAATGACATGAGCAGGTCTGACCCCCCTGCCCAGCCCCAGCTCGGACCCCAGCTATGGGGGGGCTCATGCAGCTAGAGGGGGCTGACAGATCCCGTGGGTGATTCCTGGGGCAGCCTGTGAGAGGGCAGGGAGTACACAGCGGAGCGCTAGCCTGGTGCTGGCTGGCTCTAAATATGCCAGAGCCGCCCTTCCGAGGTGGAGCGGAAGGATAGCCCGTCCCTCTGGTATCTTACGTTACACGCTCTGCCGTACAGCTTGGCATGTGGAAAAGCAATGCCCCCTGCCGAACGGGGGAGCTAGGGAAACCTGAGCTGTGCCTTGCCCCATGTGGCTGTAGCCAAGTGTCTGTCTGCAGCAGGGAAGCATCTCTCCCTTTCCTCCTGTGAAGGAGAATAACAGCATCTGCTGAATTCATGCATCGCTTTGGGGGTTTTGCTGTTGCAGCTGTCCCCCTTCTCTTGCTCAGAGCACGTGCTGTGAGAGCGCTGTTCACGGCATCTGTAATGCAGGGCACGGCCTGCCCTGTGGCTTCAGCGCAAGCAAGACGAGACCTTTCCAAGGGCAGGGCAGGAGCATTAACAGCTTGCTGTTACTCTCTGTATTGGTGAAAAACTTCCTGAATATAATGTAGGCCTGATAGGCTGATGTGACAGGCGCAGGTGCAAAGCCCACCGCAGATGGGAACAGTGCAGAGACCTGGTGGGGTTTGTGTCCTCGTGCTGAGCAGAGGGAGGAAATGCAGCGAACTTGGAGCAGCCTGCAGCTCGGTGAGCCTCTGCCTCCTGCTGGCAGCATCCTCCAAGCCCGCTGCAAGCTGGGGCTGCATGCCCTGTGCAAGCCCCCAGCTCCTGAAACATGGCAGGGGTTGCTGCAGGGCCCATGCCATGCCAGCAGCAGCACCCTGTGGCCGTGCGCTCCTGCTTGCCACAAGGGCCCTTGTCTGGGAAAGGTGCACTGGGGCTTCCTCTCTGGGGAGGTCAAAGAGCGCTGCCCCTAAAAGAGGGGGACACGATGTCACGGGGCATAGTCCAGAAAAAGGCATCTGAAGCAGGAGGGATGGATGTCCACGCACGGCTTGTGGCACAGTAGTAATCCTTAGCAGGCGGGTACCTCGCTGCGGGGGCTGGGCAAGCAGTGCTGTGTTGGGGGGGTCAGGCAGGCCCCCAGCCTCTTAGTGGCTCTGGGGAAGCATGACCCCTGTCCTGAAAACCCTTGCCCTGGTGGGGTCGCTCAGGGCTGTCCTGCCTGGCACCTCTGCCCCTGTTGTGCATCCCTCTCCCCAGGGCCGCAGCCTCGCTTCCCCCCAAAGGGCGTCCTTCACCTGACTCTCCAAACAGGCTGTTGAACTTTCCCCTGACTCAATGTGTTTCACAATCCTCTTGGATGCAAAATGTGTTTTCCCAAGGAAGCTTAGGTGAGACAACCCTGGGACATGATCCTGCTTGCATTTTGCCTGCCATGGGATCTAGGACCAGGCACTGGCACCTTCCCTGCTCCTCTTCCATAGCCAGGTTCCTGCATGCCAGTACTCGGCCACAGAGATAACATGTATGCCCTCTTGCATTTGCTGTTGCCCAGTGGCACAGATTTCCCTTCCTGTATTCTCTAACTGAATCTAATAAATGCAAGGAAAAGATATAGGAACTGTTTTTTTCCCAATGATCTGCATTTGGAGGGCTGTAGGAAGAAGCATGCTGGGGACAACAGTCTCCCTTCAGCTCTGCCTGTGGTTTCTGCAGCCAGCCTGTCTGCCTTGCCTCGCTCCCCGCACCGTGCCTGGTGCCTCCTGCTGACTGCAAACCTTGTCTCTCCCTG